GTTGAGAAATTAGAGGGATGACATGTTGTGGGGTTGTTAACCAATGTCGTAAAACAATATGTGTACTTCTGTTTCACGAGAAACTATTTGTTCTGTAAGCCTTCACTTGAAATACGATTAAAAAAAAAGAATCTTGCCAAACCCAAGAGAAATTTCTAGAGCCACTACAGAATTATTTTTGAAACAGCTCTCTTGAAAGTTAACCATCCACACTTCATCTCTCACTGGCACAGCCGAGGCCCACCCAATGCAAGAGTTATGAATGGGAGGCAGTCACAGCATCAATGTGACAAAGTTACTGGCTTTGACTTGCAGGGGTTTTCTCCGAAGTGAACAGGATTATCCATCGGAAGACACTCTAGAAAGTTCATTGCCACAGGCACATGGAGAATGTTTCATTTACTCAGTGTAGAACGTTCCACAGGGCACTCTGATGTTGAGCGTCCCAGAGAACCCGTCCGGTGTCCCTGCTGTTGAGGTTCTGCCACGTGCTGGAGCCCCACCACTGACCAGGAGTGGCCTACCTTCCCCACAGACTCCAGTGGCTTCCAAGGCACAGCCTTCTCCAAAAAGACGCCTCCCACTGCCTACACACCAAGGCTGGAGGGAGGAGAAACACCACTACAGTCCCCCAAAGGGAAGGGCAACACCTGGGAGGTTACGAGACCCTCGGGGCTCCTCACCTTTGAATCCCGCTTGGTCACCAGGGCGTACAGGGGCTTTTTATTCAGATCAAAGTGGCTGCAGACATCCCTGGCAGCTTCAGCCCCCTGGGCCACCAGGGCCGCCATGAGGTTCAGGCAGGCTCGGGCCAACCTGCACAATGACAAGGAGGATCTCTGTCAGGTCAGAGACAGCGGATACACAAAGCTGCTTCATCATGAAGCAACTGCACTTCATTATCCCCAAACCAGAAAAAGAAAGGCACACGACGTGCCTTAAAGAACTTAAAAAAAAGATAACAGAAACTTTTAAAAAGCTAAAAAACTGAGACTAAGGAGGATCACAAATACAAAACTCAAAGTGTAAAGATGGACGTTTATCTCTAAGTGAATCCTCGTAACTGAGAGACTCCAATCTCATCCCTGAGCTTGGGGGACAGAGAAAGGCCTCGTCACATGGGCATCTCCAAGAGCGAGCTCCCGCGCCTTTCCACTCTGCCGTTACCCAGACCTCGTGGTTAACTGAGCACCCAGGGCTACCAGGCCCTGTTCTAGGCCCAGGGCAGATAGCAGGGCCCGTCTTTACAAGGCAGTCAAGGTCTCAGCCCTTGTGCACCTACATTCTAGGGGAGGGAGACAGAGGGTCAGAAAACAGATACAGATTGTGGTGCTGCAGGCTGCCATCAAGTCAGCCACAACCCCCCGCACAACGGAACAAAAAGCTCGTGATCGGCTGCGGATCAGACAACATTTCGTAGCGATCTAAAGGGTTTTCACTGACTGATTTTTGGAAGTTGATTGCCAGGCCTTTCCTCCAGGTCTGTCTTAGTCTGGACGCTCCACTGAAACCTGTTCAGCACCACAGCAACACACAAGCCTCCACTGACAGACAGGTGGTGTCTGCACATGAGGGGCACTGGCTGGCCAGGAATCGAAGCTGGCTCTCAGCATGGGAGCTGAGAATTCCACCACCGAACCACCACTGCCCCCGCACGTCAGACACAGATGCACAGACAGAACGCTGCTTCGAAATGCTAGCAGGAGAAAGGGCAGAAAGTGACAGTGGACGCAGGATGGTCAAAGGTCCCCTGAGGTGACACTTCTGGGAAGTCCTGAACGGGTGGGCAGAGGGGGAGAAGGAGAAGCTGACTATCCTGGGGAAGAGCCAAAGACAGAGGAAGGAAGAGGGGCAGAGACATGGTCCCGGCGCCCGTGAGGAGCAAAGGTCAAATGCACCCTCGGAGAGCTGCAGACAGACCGACCAAGGCTGGCGCTGTGGCCTACAGGCGGGCACACACGACTCACCTGTAGCCCGAGGCATACAGGGACTCACAGATGAGCTTCATGTGGTTATTCAGGAGCTTCTTCACGATGTTGGTTCCCACAGCATGAAAATGGGAAAGATCGCTTGCCGTCCGCAACAATATGGCCTCAAAAGCTTGAAACATTAATAGTGTCTACAAAGACGGAATGGAAACACTTATGAATCACTATATTTCTTTGTTTCCTGTACATGTAATAATCTAGTTACAACTACACAAAATGAAATGAAAAAAGCAAATTCTATTAGCAATTAGGCTTCACTGCTTTGGGGATATTCAGACCCAGAGCCTTACAGCAATAACTCTGGGATTTCAAATGGCTCATAAACGTCCTCAATTTTCAACTCCTTTGGAATCAGAAGACAACAGCGCATTTCTGAGTCTGTAACGCAAAAGTTTTTAACAATTTCCTTTGGGTCAAACAAACCATGTCGACACCAAGTTCACTTAGATTCTAAGAATCTATGATCCTTCTGTTATTATTCACCAAACGTTAACAAGTTAGTGTTCTCCACTAAAATGCTTTCAAAGGTCATGAATGCGTTCCTATAGTTCAGGGACAAAGTGTCATCTTCTGTAGAAAGCTGCAATGTCTTGGAAATTTACATTCCATTTCTCACCATCGAGCTTAACACAAGAGCGGCATTAACTTCCGTCTAGTCATCAGCCAGGTGAGGAACAACATACCTCACTTTCAGGTCGCTTCTCGCCACTCAGGAGCTGGAAGATTTCTGCACACTCGACGGAGATCTTTATATAGCCTTCCACGACATCATACGCCCCTTCCTGAGGGAGCTGTTTGGCAGCAGAGACGAACGCTTCCAAGGCTGAGAGAAAAGTGGCATACGAATGTTCACAAGGATGGTCTCCAGGCCGCGAGTGACTCCTCAGTAGTCCGCTAATGCAGCCCACTGGCCTGGGCAGTGAGCACCCCCCCACCCCACCCGCAGAGGCTGCTACAGGAAGCGATGGAGGCAGCACAGGACTGTAGCAAACGGGGAGCCGACGGAACTCAGGGGCTGGAATCCTGGCTCCAGCAATTCCTCACCCAGATGCCCCCTCTAAGCCTCAGTTCTCTCACTGATAAAGACTGGAAATAACAATACAAGTGACACTGTATAACATGGCAATGAAACATTACCAGGAACTTTACCTACATAACAACATTTAACTCTCCCGGCAACCCTTGCACTAGATACTAATATTTTTTCCCACGTTGCAATGCAACTTTTCTCCTGCAGCAGCCACACTCATTCATTTAATAGTTACTGAGTGTCTTTTGGAGCTGGTGGTGCAGTGGTTAAGAGCTCGGCTGGTGCGTCGACCTTTCTGATAGGAGCTGATAACTTCTTTCACCTGGGAGAAACACTCACTGTGTTCTAGCACAGTAACACGGTCTCCACATTCATGTCCAATTGTGTTTTTTTCCCTCCCATCCTCCTAAGCTGAATACTTTCCAAGGGATTACAAGGAGTTGTGAAGGATGTACACTTTTCCAAACAGTGAAACTAAACTAGAGAGTCTGCTCCCCATCAGTCACTGGTCCAGTCTTGGTCAACTGACAGGTCCTCGTGCTGGTTTTTGGCGGCTTGTCACGCGTTGCCGAATGAGTGTGCGCGTTGGAGGGTCAACGCAGACAACCCAAACAGTAGCAAACCGCCTAAACGAACAGTCCAGGGCTGACTCACGGTAGTGAACCCAATCAACATTCGTTGTGGAAATGAGTACCCTTCATCTACTTCCCGACAAATCCAATAAAGAGATTTTAAACCAGCTGAGGAATGCTGCCCAAGCAAGGGAAACGTGAAGTCGCACGAAACCGTCACAAACAAGCTAGTCGCGGTCCTCCCTCGCTGTTGTCAACAGCTCAGGGCAGGGACTCCGGCTCTGACCCTCAGTGCCGCAAAAGCTGCAAAGAGGAGGGGTTTTGTCTAGCACGCAAACGCTACGCAGATCGAGGCCGGGAGACCCCCTTCCGAAGCGAGTGCACCTCGCCAGCCGCGACCCGGCACTCACCTGGGCCCGCGTCCTGCGAGTCCCTCAGCTGAGTCTTGAACTGCACGCCGGTGAGCTCGTCAGCGCGGGCCCGCTTGGCTGCGCCCGCGGGGTAGGCCGCGCCGTTGTGGCCGTCCGGGGCCTTCCTCTTGGGGACCGTCCTCTTGGGGACCCCCATGGCCGAGAGGGGACCGGGGCGCCACGGAAACCACACACCCGTGAGCACCAGCCGAGAAGACACGTGCCGGAAGCCGATGCGCGTCTCTGGCCCACGCCTGGGCAGGAAAGGGCGGAGCTTCCGGAAGGGGCGGGGCTTCCTAAAGCGGCGGGACCTCGAGAGGTTACGTAGGCGGAAGGGGCGGGGCGGAGAGTCGGGGAGGTGGGTGCGGGCGGTCCCCGAGTTGGTCTTGGCTGTGCGAGAGGCCTGTGGGTCTCTCGGGGGACCTTGGCGAGAAAGCTCCGGAGCGCCTCCGACCCCCACCTCCCGCCTGTGGGTGGCGAGGGCACGGGCCCGAGCTTCGTAGGGGCCGTCAGTGTTCGGTTCTTAACCTGAGGGCGCCATGATGGTGCCGCGGCCGCTTACGCGCTCGGGATTCGGTACCTGACCCGGTTGGAGGCGCTGCCGTTTGGAGCGAGGTGGCTGCTCCCTGTTTGGGATCAAAAACAAAAAACAAAATCACTGCCGTTGAGTCAATTCTGACTCATAGCGACCCTATAGGACAGAGTAGAACTTCCTATAGGACTTTCAAGGCTGTGATCTTTACAGAGGCAAACTGCCACGTCTTTCTTCCGCGGAGCGGCGGGTGGGTTTGAACCGCCGACCTGTCGGTTAGCAGCCGAGCGCTTTAACCTCTGCGAGACGAGGTTGCATGCCAGGCTGCGTATTTCAGGGAAGTTTTTCCTCGGACATCTGGGCCGAGGACCGTGCAGGTGCCCCTAACCTGACCCTAGCTTCTCTCACAACCTGAAACAGACCAGCTTGTCTGATGGGGTGTCACCCAGACTGACCCCCGTCCCGGCTTCCCCGCACTGATGGGGGGACGTGCACCTCGTCGGCCGCGCAGAGTGCAAGGTGGAGATCCAGTGAAGTAACGTCTGTGAAAGCCTCCGCATCTCAGTTCTTGTCATTAAAATGGGGACGGCAGAGCCAGCCGTAACCAACCTCTGGCGCTGTCGTGAGCAGCAAATGACGCAATGTGTGAAAAACCTCTTTGACGGAGAAAAAGTACAGTGCGTTTTTGTAGGATGTTGTTAATTGACTTGTGAGCCTCAATAAATGCTTTCTGGAATAAAATGGAGATATAAATGAATCCGTAAGAAAAAAAAAGTGCATTTTTTACTACTGCCTCAATACTTGGTTGTGTGTTCACGTAAATTATGAAACAGCTCATTAGCTGAGTAATTGGGATTCTCTGTCAAGTGGCCTCTAGTCTGAGGAAATACTTCTTGTGTTCTGGAAACAGATGTGTATTGAGCATCTCAGACGAGGTGTGTTCTGGCCTGTTGTGGTTTCAGAATTTCCCTAGCAGTCAAGTCCGATGACATGGACCCTGGGCCTCTGGCCTGGCAGGCCTCTTGTCCCTAAGGAAATGCCACGTTAGTGCGGGTCAGACAGAGGGAGTCACCCCAGCAGGTCGGAGCTGGGGCTTCAATAGCAGGTGGACGTGCTCAAAATGCAGGCTGCAAAGGTCAACACTCTAATCAGGAAGGACAAACCTGATTATTCTCAGCACTTGCCCACACTGGTGCTTTTCTCTGGCTAATCGCCATCCATCAGTGTCATCTTCCGCCAGGGTGAACCTGACCAAGAGGCAGCAGAGAGGTGGGTAATAGTCAAAAGTCCTGACTTCAGTTTCAAAGTCATTGGTCCAGTGGACAAAGGAGTCCCCTCTGGGTGGTACCAATCATTAACACACTCAGGTGCTAACCGAAAGGTTGGAGGTTTGAATTCACCCAGAGGCGCTTCAGAAGAAAGACCTGGCAGTCTACTTCTGAAAAATCAACCAATGAAAACTCTATGAAGCACAGTTCTGTTCTGACACATATGGGGTTGCCATGAGTTGGAATCGACTCAACAGTAACTTGTTTGTTGTGTTTTGTTTTTTTATTTTTGTTTTCTACCTTGGGCAAATCACTATGTCTGTGGATTAGTTTGCTTGACAAGGGCTCAAAAAGAGTAAGGAATTTGCCGGAAATACCCAGCTAATAAGTGGGTATTAGGACTCAGTGAGTTTTTGTAAGATGTTGTTAATTGACTTGTGAGCCACAATAAATGCTTTTGGGAATAAAATGGAAGTATAAATGAATCAGCTAAAAAAAAAAAAAGTGAATTTTTTACTACATATAGGACTCATCCAGTGTGCCTCAACCCCAGTTTAAAGACAAACAGAAGTTGCCAGTGCCCACCCCGGCCCTGGCCAGAGACAAAGGACTCCCAGTCGTGATGGCAGGTATGGCTCTGCAGTAGGGTGCTTCAGACTAAATCAGCCTGATGCCAGGAATCGTTGGAACCAGGCCATTAACTCCCCTTGTTCAGATACCAGGCTCAACAACCAACCTTAGGATAATAACTTGGCTTTCATGGAAAAGGTCAGCATGGAGAGAAAGACCCTTACTAGCCCCCCAAGAGCATCCTGGTCTGCTTGAAGATTGTGCTCAGTGTTCCTCAGGCATTACATACTGATATCCACCTCAGGGCCTTTTCACTGCTGTTCTCTCCTTCTGAAGCTCTGCCCAGACCTTACATGGCTCCAACTCTCATTACACGAGGGCTCTTCCTGCCATCCCTCATCGCCTGTCTCTTTCCCCTCCTCTAGTCCTTATTATCTACTGAAATCAGATACTCATATGTTATTCAGACTCCTTTAATCAAATATGCACAATGGCACAGAAGAGCGTTGAATGCTCCGCTCTCACTGCCCGGAAGAGGGCTTGGGACATGGTGGTTGTTGTGTGCCATCAAGTCAACCCTGACGCACAGAGACGCTGGAGGACAGAGCAGAACGGCCCCATAGGGCTTCCAAGGCTGTCATCTTTATGGAAGCAGACTGCCACAGCTTTCTCCCATGGAGCAACTCATGGGTTCAAAACACTGACCTTTCAGTTAGCAGCCGAGCACTTAACCACTGTGTCACCAGGGTTCCCTTGGAATATGGTAAGGTTCAATAAATACTTATTGAATGAATAAACATCCAGCTAGAGATAAATATGAATGAATACCTAGATCTAGGTCTTGAGTTTACGTAATGTCAATCTATCCTAAAATTCCGTGGGTGGTGCAAACAGCTAATGTGCTTACCGCTCACCGAAAGGTTAGAGGTTTGTGTCCACCCAGAGGTGCTTCAGAAGAAAGCCTGGTGATCTACTTCTGAAAAATCAGCCATTGAAAACCCTATGGAGCACAGTTCTACTCTGACATGCTTGGAGTCACCATGAATTAGAGTCAACTCCATGGCAACTGGTTTAACAGGTTATCTTAAAAGGCAGGTTGACTCTTGGAATGCTGTCAAAAAGCCTCAGGTAAATATTTCTGCATCAGTCAGCTTGTGAACTGGCCCCTGGACTGTGGTGAATTAGTCAAGGGACGTCCAACCTCTAGCGGTCAGTTTATCCCCAGTGGCCACACTTCCCATTCACACCATTAATCGCGGTGTTTATCTTGTGCTTATTTCAATTCCGTAAGGTGAAAGTCAAGTTCTGGACAAGGGTAAAAGGAGAGGCTCCATATCAGGTTCATACTGAAGCAGGTTTATCATGGGCTCTCAGAATGTGAGAAGTGTACGTTGTACACAGGATGATGTTATCTTCATGCTACGCCCTGCATTCTTTCGTTGAGATAAGAGCTCCTTAATGCAATCATGTTATAGACAGGAGGCAATTCCTTTCTCTCTTCTGTTTTAATCATTTTAGTGGTGAATTTTTTCGGATGGCATTTACCAAGATCAAGACAGTTCGGTTATCTACTTGATTAGCAATTGCAAGAATGAAGCATTATTTCAAAGACAGTGACCGTGAACTCTAGCAAAGGACACAGCATCCCACGGACTAGAACAGAGAAGCCAGTGGCTTCCCCTCAATTCAACAAAACACCAAAACCCACTGACTATCTGCTATATGCATTGCATTGTACAATTAGCCACGAGGGATTCAAAAAAGTAGAACACACTATACCTCCCAAAAAGAGAATTACAGTATCATTGCAAAGGTGACCCACCTGATAAGTTCAGTAGCAGTAAAGAATTTAGCCAAGAATCCAAGACGATATGGGATGTTCCAAGGCTACATGATGACTATCAAATGAATTATCTGAACATCTGAACAACAGACACAAGGAGTCAGTATAATCCAGGTTCGATCTGTGTGGACTTCTTAATAAAATGCTGACAAAACAGAGAAAAAATCTGGAACATCATTTTTTTTCCCCCTTCTTTGAAGGAAAACTGAAGTAGAGTAGAAAATATTCTCCTCTTGTTCGATATGGAATAAAAGCCCCATAAGTGCAGGCCTAATTGTGGTAAAAATCACTACATAGATGAAGTTTGTCTTCTTAACCCTCTCCAAACTCCCTCTCTGCCCACCCACCTCCCACCACACACACAGAGAGCGCCTTCTGCTTTCCCAGACATAATCTCCCTGGGAAATGCCTCCTCCAGAATTATTCTTTTTCCACCTCCGTCCCTATGCTAAGGCTCCCTCTTTCCTTGCTCTTCCTCCATAACCTGTTCCCTCGCAAAAATGATTTCAGCTAGCCATCAGAAAACAAAGAAACTTGAGAAATTCACAATAAGGTGCTGGAGGATCCCAACATGCATCTGTCAGTCTGTTGTACTGTAGCATGTGGGTTGGGTATTGCTATGATGCTGGAAGCTATGCCACCTGGTATTTCAAATACCAGCTGGGTAGTCCATGAAAGATAAGTTTCCGTGGAGCTTCCAAACTAAGACAGACTAGGAAGGAAGACCTGGTGATCTATGTTCAAAAATCAACCAATGAAAACCCCATGGATCATGACAGAATGTTGTTTGATACAGTGCTTTAAGATGAGCCTCCTAGACTGGAAGGCACTCAAAATACAACAATGAACTTGAGCATGTCAATGATTGTGAAGACGGCGCAGGACTAGGCAATGTTTTGTTGTACGTGGGATCGCCATGAGTTGGAGCTGACTAACGACAACAACAGTGGAGGATGATAACAATTTGCAACCTACCAACAAATAT